AGAGGGGGGGTGGGGGGGTGGGGGGGGGGGAGCTATGGTTCTAGAAAAAACATAATAGCTTTTCTTAGCTCAGAGTATTACTGAATCAGTTACATCAAAGTGTAGAAGGCACTCAGCATTACAAACTATTAAGGAAAATGAAATTTATCAAATGTCTGGTGATCGTTCGTCATATAATCGGTCCGTATAAAGAAAAAAATGAACTGTTTGCTTATTTTCCAAAATTTTACTTCGGTGTGACAGCTTCATCATGCGATGTAAAATTATTTATGAAACTGCTAATAGGCTAATTGGGGTATTTCCCAAACGATGCAGTTTATGCTGTAGGAGTTCTCACTGTAGATTACCTTAAAAAGGACAAGATGTTCCACTAAAATTAGTTAGACCACAACCAAATATTGCAGCTGGCAACAGGAACATTACTAGTGGCTTCTTAATTACATTGGCATTAACAGGAGGAGTTTGAGTAACCCACTGAGGGGCATATTGGCACGTAGTGTACAGCATAGCAGCACATTTCCCCCATACTCGTACAATGTTGCTGTCATTCAAGGAATCATTGCACTCAATGCTTACCGTGTGAAGCTAGCCACGTAACATTTTCATCATTTCAGTTCAGTTTCTAGTGCTGACTTTTTCAATAGAAGTTGGCAATTTTAGATTTCATTGTTTTATGATTGAAATTATATAGTCGTGTGATTGCAACTACATCAAAACTTAGTGGGTTGATTTTTATTCCAATCTTGAGAACTTCAGATCATATAGTGAACTACTCCTCGGTATCAAAATATAAGACATTTTTTGATGCAAAGGGAGTATCAAATAACATTTTATATTTTGATACGGAGGGAGTATTTAGCAACTTTTATGTCGTTCCTGTGTTAAGAGAATAAGAGGACCAGACTCGCTGATGTGTCTATCTGCCTAAGGTTTCTTACGGTTGCTAGCATGCTATTGCACGGTTCAAGCATCATCTACCTAGTACCTTTTGCTGTAACAAAGAACATTTAATGATGACCCTATAGGATTATTTCGTTTTCAAGTGCAAAGATACCTATGTGCAATTTGAATCTGGATGATGAACCTAAAATATTTATCTCCCTTCTCTTTGCCCAGGACCTGTGAGATCTGCAGCTCAACCGCATGCAATGTGGTTGTGTTAGGCGATCCGGAGTTCGTCGAGCAATCAAACGAATCGAACACCACAGCAGCCGGGCATGCATTTCCAAACGAAAGCAGGAGGTTTTGGCAAGGGCACCGGTTCCTCAACTTCCTTCTGGCATGCATGGTCTTCGCCTTCGTCATCTCATGGCTCTTCCACTTCAACGTCCCAGGGTGAGTTTCGCAGCGGACGGTCCCTCAATAAAAAGCTCCAAGGCCGTTACGGCAGCAAACATGTGGGTTAGGTTCAACAAATCTGGAGAAACAGGCTAAAAGGTGAAGTTAAGCTGTGAAGAGGTACACAAATATATGGTCGGCGCGGCGGCCTTAAATTTGCCTTGATCGGTGTTCCGTAGTACGAAAGGAACCCTGATCAGGATCTCCCTCCTGCCCCAAGATTTGAGTGGAGTTGAAGATAAGCGGCGAAGAATTAGAAGATGCGTTGTTGTTCACTTGTTCCGCGATTATTGTTGTCTTGGTTTGAAGAAGAACGGGATTATGTTAGTGTTGTCATTTCCTAGCTTTGGCGTTTTGCCTTGTGAGTTGGTGTGATCTGTGTGCAGTCAGTGCAGATTTCTGTATGCCTACCCTTTGTTCCAGTGTTTATAGTCCTGATAAACAGGATGAGGTGAGGTGAGGTGTCCTTAGGGAAGATAAATGTAGCGCCAGCTCAGTTCCGAACAATGTTGTGGGAAATAATGGTAGAAACTTGCGCGCGTGGAAGATAAAATGTTGTGAAATGCTTGAGCTCACATGCGCGCGTGGAAATGATGGTAGAAACTTGTGTTAGTTTTTAGGTGTTTTTGTGAAGAACACTGTTGTTTTGAATTTCAGTTTTACTACTACTATATGTTTAGTTGCTGTATAATGCAAGTGTAGTATGTTAGTTGCAAGTGTTGGACCGATATGGGTGACCCACGCTGCCACAATTCGGTCGGTGTGTAAGAGCAGGCAGAGGCCGTGACCTCTTTGCACTGCACTGAATTGGGTCGGTGTGTGCAGGCATAGGATCTGGTGAGACGACGCTGCAGGACTCAGAGGACCGCGCAATGATAAATTGCACTCATACGTGTAGCAGGGCGTACTTGAAGGTGCTGTGGCAGCACTGTGCCGCGAGCTGGGCCGGGCATAAATGCAAACGGATCGGCGAAAAAAATGGAAGCGCTGTGCGCGATTGCAGCCTGCTCCTGCGGCCGCGCCGGGTGAGGCGAGGGCGGGGAAAGGTGAAAGCCCTACCAACATTTGAGGAAACAGCAGCGTGGTCGCGGCGGGCCCAAGGCACGGGAAGGGAACGAATGACACGCAAACCCAACGGCGGCATGGGCGGCCGGGCTGCTGCGTCTGCGCGGGGGACTCGATGGCGCCGCACGTTCCTTCTTTCGCGGCCACACGCTACTGGGGTGGAGCACCACGCCTCCGTCGCCGTGCACGGGCCCCGCGCAAACAGAATGAATGGAACTCATCCAACCGCGCCACGCGACACGCATGGAGCGAGCCCGTCGGGCCGGCGGCGAATCGGCATGAATGCATCGATAGGTGATCATAGAATTAAGCTGGTCGGTCGATATATACATGTACACCCACATTCATCGTCAATCTTTTTGGTGGTGTTGTTTAAGGGAAGGCCAAGCCAATGCAATGGAGGGTGGCTCAGCTGAACGACGGGTGGGGCTGCTTCGGTTCGAGCATGCATGCATGCATACAGAAAGGGTCGCCCACAGGATTCTCCTTGGGCGCGCCGAGACAAAACGCCCGCTCATCTCATGTGCCGTTGGGCGTGGCGTCGGAGAGCATGCTCATGTCCTCCTCGGCGTGCCTCCCGTTCATCTGCACCCGCTGCCGCTGAAACAGTCAGAGACAGACGCGCGTCAGCCAAAAGGTGGCAGCAAAATGAGTACAGGCAGCCCGGCGTGCCTCCATGGGTACAAGCTCAGCTCAACGACGGTGCAAGCTTTAAAATTTAAGGGAGTTAACTTTCAAAAAAAAAGGCAGTTCGAATTTAAGATGGATGATCAATCGGGCCGAAAACCCTAGAATGTTCAGTGCTGAGAGCTAATGCCGTACCCGATCAGTCGCATCCCCATGGTTCCCGTTCAACAGCTTATGGAACTCGTCCTTCAGCCTCACGTCTTTCTCATCCTTTGGTCTTCCATCTTTATCTTTGTTGCTCAGCGGAATCAAGGGTGACCCATTTGTACGGTCCGGCATTTCTGCACAAGACGTCCACAAAGCCTATTGTTACAAGGTGCCCACAGATAGAAAATCACAACAAATCGTATTCGTGACGGCATGAGAACAGTACCTGGGAGCTTGGTGTCCACGAAGAAGACGACTAGATTAACGGCATACCTGTGAGCAAAGTAACTCTTAGAAGACAGGTAGCAGCAGCAAAATACTCCCTCTGTATACAAATGTAGGACGTTTTTGCAGTTTAAATAAAACGTCCTACATTTGTTTACAGAGGGAGCAGCTGATAGGCCAAATGTAAGCTATCATACCAGGCAACAACAACATCCACAGTGTAGTGCTTGCGAGCGGCAATAATAAGGAGACTTTGAATTATAGCCATCATCCAGGCAAGGAGCTTAATAAACCTGAAATACAAGGTCCACCAGTTCAATTCCAATTCGGGCATGGGATTTACCAGACAGAGATTCGTAAATTTCAAGCCAAGCATGGGCACGACAATAACCTTTTTGAGCCATATTTGTGATATGTTCGAACGAAAACAAGAGTGAAAATCATATGGGATGAAAATATAAGATCACCACACCCAAGATTTACTCCTCGAGGAACTGCAATGAACAATACAAAGCTCTGGATGGTAAGTTAGAGGAACTTTGCACAAAATGTCAAGCCAATGATGAAAAGGAACTTACAATTAATTAGGAGCACTTCAAGCACATTATTGGGTGGTGGAAGAGTGGCCATACTTGAGCCCTAAAAATACAAAGCTATAGATGACTCCATGTATGACTAAACGACAGGTTCTTCCAGGCCGCAATGCTGAGAAAGAGCTGATGCGAAAATTGGCTAAGGTGAAACAAGGGCTACCTCGCGACAGTGATAGTTTGGACCTGGGAGCTGGGTTGAATAAAATGTAACGATCCTTAAAACCTGTGAAGCCTGGAGAAGCAATATTTAGTAACTTATCTGGGCATGCAAAATATTGTATACATACATGGTTAGGGAGGATGCACTCACAACTAAAAAAGCAAGCACCCTGCGCCAGATTAGGATGGTGTAGAAGCGTTTGCTATGATAAATAAAAGGATGAAAGGTCCACTGCATATAAAAGATAATGTCATGATCTTTGTAATACCCGCCTTGGTTAACACCATCATAGAAAAACAGGGGAAATTCATAATAAAAGCCTAAAATAAGGAAGAACAACAAATGACACAATTAAGTAGGATATTAACCACCTAGTCCTTTTTGGAAAACAATGATATCAAACAACACGTAATGCCTACCTTCTGTTGGAATCATAGATGTCAAACTCAAGAAATAATGATTAATCTGGAGTTTTTCAGGTTATGTGTAATGAACTATTAACTAAACATATGGAAAGAAACGAACGAACACATGGGAATACAGGGATATAAGGTAGGCAGAAGTAGTCAAACCAAGTAGTAGAGTATAAGAATTACCTACCAGAAAAAAGGAGAAGAAGATGAAAACAAATGTGCATTCACTAAGATAATTTTTGTCTTGTCCAAGCTCCTAAAACAAAGCAGCAAAAAAACACTGTAATGAAATTATACCAACTTAATAGACATATTGACATACTCTCAAAAGATAAAAGAAATCCACGTACTGGAAGGGCCATAAATCCCAGGTCCTGGAGCAGTGGTCCAGGCCGATGCAAGTAATGCACTCCTCGAGCAGCCAGCCCATGAATATACTGATTATAAAGAACATTATTGTATGAATTTCCAAGTGATATATTAATCAACTGTCAAGCATAACACAATAAGTGATCCTAGATAACTAAATGAAGAAAACTTTGAAGTGGACGATCAGGAAATGTCCATCACACTAATAAAGGAAAGGATAGTAAATGGACTGTAGGGGAAGAAACAATATTAACGAATGGGAATTGTGTTAGTCCGAGCATGCTCAAAGCAGGTTACTTGATATGATTCTGGTTCTGGCAGACATATGCAGCTTGTGAACACACCAGCAGAACTTGTTGACACTAAAGGAGGGTTCGACGAATGCAATCACAGAGAAGAAGGTAAAGCCCGATGAAACATTCACAACAACAGAGCAGGATTAATTTTCTATGCACAATGCCAGGCGTTTTTTTTACAGGAATATAAATCTAAATTAATTTTGAGAATGACCTAGAGAGGACAACAAGTCGACAAACCGAATATTATCCATGGATATAAGTTATAGACCGATGCAGAACACGACAATTCATCTCTACAACACGACATAAATCACACGACAATGCTGCTCCAGCAGCGACAAACATTTGAACGAGATGCTTACCCGCGCTCATTATACTATTCGACGACCAATTATTCCCGCGATACACACAAGCGACAACAAATTATCAGGGGTGTATCAGATCATAACAATCGTATCAGCGGTTCAAACTAAACAGTAAAAAGGTAAATATTTCCAATGCATATGTCCTTCAAAGGGTGTATGTGTGGGTGCAAAGCAGTTTCCATAGAGAAATTGCCCCTCTATTGCTATGCCGATCAGTAGTAAAACTGCTAGAATGTAGTCTAATCTACAACAGGAAACACTGCTACAAATGCTTAACAACCTGCAAGCCTAAGGGCGTCCCAATTCCAGGAAAAAAACAGGATTAATAATTAGATAATGCAGGAAAGTTACCAAAAGGGGCAAATTTGTTATGACAAGTACCCATATTAACAAGCCATTATTAAATACTGAAACGCGCACCACTAGCCAAAACGAAATTAATAAGTTCACACGCACGACGGACACTGGGATACTGGATCGGGGCGCTCACCTGGAACACAATCCCAGCGAGGAGTAGCGGCCACTTCTCGCGAAGCATCGGCAGCTCGGTCGTCGTCTCCGCGCACACCTTCCTCCATACCTGCACAGCCCCCCCAAAAAAAAGGGATTGTGAATCCTCGCAGCTACCGAAAAAGGCACACGCGGTGGAGGCGGCAGAAGGCATCGCCGAATCCAGCGGAGAGGAGACCTTGGAAGCCTCCCGAGCTAGGTAGATCGTCATGGCAGTAGACGGCGCACACCCTGCTCCCGCGACGGCTGCTGCAGCTTCTACTGGGCGAGGCGATCACGTCCATGCTCCGATCCGCACATCACGCCTCGGCCTTCCGCGTCCGCGGGAGGGGTCGCCGGTTGAGTGGAGCAGAGAACGGCGCTGGACGGGACGGGGCGGGACCAGCAATCTGGCTCCGGTCCTCCGGCAGGGAGGCGGCCGGGCGGGGGAGGCTGGAAGGCCGTCGCTCTGGGGATCTCGCGGGCGGCGGAGGCGGGAGGGCGGCGACCGGCGGCGTGAGACCTGGGGGGGCTGGGGGAGTTGGGACTTGGGAGTCGGCAGGGAGTTGAAGAGAGGAGATCAAGGGAAACGAGATAATGATGAGTTTGTGAAATGCGGGAGAGCGAGGGGGTTTATGGGGAAAAGGCGGGCCGGAGGTGGGGGAGGGATGATGGGGGTCGTGGCCTCGTGGAGTTTTCCAACCGCCTTTTGGCACGGTCTAGTTAAAAATGGCGAGGGCACGTGATACTGGCCTGCCGATGGCTTTTCTTTCTCCTTTTCTCCGAGAGAGACCGCCACGGCGACGGGCCTTTCCAGTTTGAAAGTTTTAATGGAGCTTGTTTGTGTAGCTTTACAACTCTTTTAAATCAGTGGGATTAGATACAGGTTTAGTTATTGATTGTCGTTTTCTTCTTCACTAGAAAGAAGGGGGCTTCCACGGGCTTAGGGTTTCCTACCTCCCGCCGATCTGCCCCGTCTCCTGTGCCTTAAAGTCCCCGACCCATACAGGTGAGAGAGCACATGCTTTGATGTTAGGTGTTTTTTAGTCCGATTAGGGTTTGTGTCATGCTCATGAAGGCGAGCCGGTCCGTTTGGCGTCGTCGTAGGGTATGTGAAGGTGTATCTCCAAAGAATCTCACGGGATTCTGTAATTGTTTGTCTTCGGTGGACCTGCTTGGATCCCATCTGCCTTCATGTGTCTACATGTTGGATTCTTTCGATCTACGCTTCACTTCATCAGCGGCGGTTGTTGTTCTGGTGTGCTGGTTCTTTGAAGCCTTAGCACGATGACTTCCCGACTCTCTATTACAACAAGGTTTTCTCGGCTCCAGTTAGGGAGGGTGATGACAGCGACGCGCCTTTGAATCAAAAGTTGTTCGTGTAAAAAGAATCCAAGTTCTATTTACAGCATATATGACGTAGCAAAAGGTTTGCACGAGTTACTCTCTTGGCGTCTCCCACTTGTCCCCAAAGTAAGGCAGCTAGGGTTTTTGCGTAGGTGTCGCCGCCATCGGTTCTCCTTGCCTCCAGCTGCCTTCTGGCACAACGAGGTGCGGGGAACCCTAGTTTGAGGTGGTGTTTGGGTCACCCTAACTTTTGTTATGGCTCAGTCTAGGTGTCTAGCCGGTGGTGGTAAGGCCATGGTGTTATCCACAACGTGGAATAGGCTCTTCCCATCATGTCCTCGTCCGGGTGATGATGATCGGTGTCAATGGACAGCGTATGGAGTTTCGGCCAGGGCCAGGTCGTGTGCCTCATTTTTTCTATGTTTATTCTAGGTGGTCTTAGAAAAAGTCGTTTGGCGGAGTGGGCGTCAATGAATAGTGTTTTGATCTTCTGATTTTATTCTCATTTTTTTAGGAACCGACGGGAGCACTGCCTTTTTAATCATAGGAAGGAAGAAAGGTGAACCATGATGTACAAGGAGGCACACATTTTTGGCGGGATTGCGCAGCGAAACCCAATGGAAAAAAAACAGAGACTGACTCAGCCAATGCCCGAAGGGTGCATGGCCCCGGCGAACGCTAACTCACATTGCTTAATGTCCTTGAAGGCTAGAATAGCCACCTCGTGGTGAGTCATGCGACATCTTGTGAACACACGTCTGTTCCTCTCTTTCCAAAGGGCCCATGAAAGTGTAGATGAGCATCTCGCTACGTTGTCTCCGCACTTCTCTAGACTAGCCAATTAGCATGATCTCCCACCATCCAGACATAGCACTAGGTTCTGGCAGGAAGTTTGACGTTGGTATGCCGTCATTGGTCCAAGAGATCACTTGGTTCTAAACCGCTACGGAGAATGGGCAGTCTTTACACAGGTGGGTTACCCTTTCCGTCTCCTGGAGGCATAGTTGGCATTTCGGGTCATGCGGCCAGCTAGTGGAGCGAGCATGTCCACCATTAGGATTATGCCATGAGAACGAGCCATGCAAAGAATTTGCATTAAGACTCAGCGTGGGTGGTCCTGTGTCGAATCTCGGATGGGAGCCGTGGAATTGTGCCGCGTAGGTCGAGGGTGAAGAGTAGGATCCCTTACTGGTCAGGTTGAAGGAAATATGCCCTAGAGGCAATAATAAAGTTATTATTTATTTCCTTATATCATGATAAATGTTTATTATTCATGCTAGAATTGTATTAACTGGAAACATAATACATGTGTGAATACATAGACAAACAGAGTGTCACTAGTATGCCTCTACTTGACTAGCTCGTTAATCGAAGATGGTTATGTTTCCTAACCATAAACAAAAGAGTTGTTATTTGATTAACGGGATCACATCATTAGGAGAATGATGTGATTGACATGACCCATTCCATTAGCTTAGCACCCGATCGTTTAGTATGTTGCTATTGCTTTCTTCATGACTTATACATGTTCCTATGACTATGAGATTATGCAACTCCCGTTTGCCGAAGGAACACTTTGTGTGCTACCAAACGTCACAACATAACTGGGTGATTATAAAGGAGCTCTACAGGTGTCTCCAAAAGTACATGTTGGGTTGGCGTATTTCGAGATTAGGATTTGTCACTCCGATTGTCGGAGAGGTATCTCTGGGCCCTCTCGGTAATACACATCACATAAGCCTTGCAAACATTACAACTAATGAGTTAGTTGTGAGATGATGTATTACGGAACGAGTAAAGAGACTTGCCGGTAACGAGATTGAACTAGGTATGGGATCGACGATCGAATCTCGGGCAAGTAACATACCGATGACAAAGGGAACAACGTATGTTGTTATGCGGTCTGACTGATAAAGATCTTCGTAGAATATGTAGGAGCCAATATGAGGATCCAGGTTCCGCTATTGGTTATTGACCGGATACGTGTCTCGGTCATGTCTACATTGTTCTCGAACCCGTAGGGTCCGCACGCTTAAGGTATCGATGACAGTTATATTATGAGTTTATGAGTTTTGATGTACCGAAGTTAGTTCGGAGTCCCGGATGTGATCACGGACATGACGAGGAGTCTCGAAATGGTCGAGACATAAAGATTGATATATTGGACGGCTATATTCGGACACCGGAAGTGTTTCGGATGATTTCGGAGAAAACCGGAGAGCCCGAGGGTTACCGGAACCCCCCGGGAGAAGTAATGGGCCATATGGGCCTTAGTGGAGAGAGAGAGGGGCAGCCATAGGTGGGCCGCGCGCCTCCTCCCCCCCTTGGTCCGAATTAGACTAAGAGAGGGGGGCGGCGCCCCCTTTCCTTCTCCCTCCCCACTTCTTTCCCCCTCCTAGTAGGAGTCCTACTCCTACTAGGAGGAGAACTCCTCCTTGGCGCGCCTATAGGGCCGGCCAGCCTCCTCCCCTTGCTCCTTTATATACGGGGGCAGGGGGCACCCCTAGACACACAAGTTGTTCCACATGATCATATTCTTAGCCGTGTGCGGTGCCCCCTTCCACCATAGTCCTCGATAATATTGTAGCGGTGCTTAGGCGAAGCCCTGCGATGGTAGTACATCAAGATCATTACCACGCCGTCGTGCTGACGGAACTCTTCCCCGACACTTTGCTGGATCGGAGTCCGGGGATCGTCATCGAGCTGAACGTGTGTTAGAACTCGGAGGTGCCGTAGTTTTGGTACTTGATCGGTCGGGCCATGGAGACGTACGACTACATCAACCAAGTTAACGCTTCCATTGTCGATCTACAAGGATACATAGATCACACTCTCCCCCTCTCTTTGCTATGCATCACCATGATCTTGCGTGTGCGTAGGAATTTTTTTGAAATTACTACGAAACCCAACAGTGGTATCAGAGCCTAGGTTTTATATGTTGATGTTATATGCACGAGTAGAACACAAGTGAGTTGTGGGCGATATAAGTCATACTGCTTACCAGCATGTCATACTTTGGTTCGGCGGTATTGTTGGACGAAGCGGCCCGGACCGACATTACGCGTACGCTTACGCGAGACCGGTTCTCTCGACGTGCTTTGCACATAGGTGGCTTGCGGGTGACAGTTTCTCCAACTTTAGTTGAACCAAGTGTGGCTACGCCCGGTCCTTGCGAAGGTTAAAACAGCACCAACTTGACAAACTATCGTTGTGGTTTTGATGCGTAGGTAAGATTGGTTCTTGTTTAAGCCCATAGCAGCCACGTAAAACTTACAACAACAAAGTAGAGGACGTCTAACTTGTTTTTGCAGGGCATGTTGTGATGTGATATGGTCAAGACATGATGCTAAATTTTATTGTATGAGATGATCATGTTTTGTAACCGAGTTATCGGCAACTGGCAGGAGCCATATGGTTGTCGCTTTATTGTATGCAATGCAATCGCGCTGTAATGCTTTACTTTATCACTAAGCGGTAGCGATAGTCATGGAAGCATAAGATTGGCGAGACGACAACGATGCTACGATGGAGATCAAGGTGTCGCGCCGGTGACGATGGTGATCACGACGGTGCTTCGAAGATGGAGATCACAAGCACAAGATGATGATGTCCATATCATATCACTTATATTGATTGCATGTGATGTTTATCTTTTATGCATCTTATCTTGCTTTGATTGACGGTAGCATTATAAGATGATCTCTCACTAATTATCAAGAAGTGTTCTCCCTGAGTATGCACTGTTGCGAAAGTTCTTCTTGCTGAGACAACACGTGATGATCGGGTGTGATAGGCTCTACGTTCAAATACAACGGGTGCAAAAAAGTTGCACACACGGAATACTCAGGTTATACTTGACGAGCCAAGCATATACAGATATGGCCTCGGAACACGAAGACCGAAAGGTCGAGCATGAATCATATAGTAGATATGATCAACATAGTGATGTTCATCAATG